GTCGTGCCGGCCCCGGGCTGCCTTCCCGTGAAAACGGCCGTGTGGGGCAGGCGGGAGGCAGCGAGGCCGTGCGCTGCTTTGAACCGGGAACCGGCGTTTCTGTGTGGGCTGCTGGGGGTGCCTTCCCCTGCTGGCTCCATCGCCCACCTGCCAGGGGCCCTTACAGTATCGGCAGAGCTGAACCAAACATCCCAAAGCACACTAAGAGCCGGGGCCTTTTTGCGTGGCTTCTGGGGGGTCGTTTTCGGTTTTTTTCAAATATTGAGACTTGCAGTCTGCTGGAAGAGCACACTGATGCTAAGAGTTAATTGCATGTCAGAATCCAGTTTTTCAAAGTTCAGGAAGAACTACTAGGTTAGTCTTACTAACAAAAAAGCCCACACCCAGATTTTTTTTTTTTTTTTTTTTTTTAATAAGCTCTCTGAGTTGTCATAAGTAATTTGGGTCACAGATAATTACATATTTAGAAATAGATGGCTTAGGCAACTAATCATAAACTTTAAAGCAGAATGCATTCCTGTTTGCACAAAGAAAGCAAGTGTTTGGCCTAATGGCCAGTTGCAGTGGCAGTAGTTGTGATTTTTTTTGCCACAACAACTGCTATTTGGATAGAACGAGCTTTTCAGGCCCTATGCAAATTGGGTGCAGGATGCAAGGTCGTACAGCATTCTGCTGTGCGGTAATTGAAACAATTGCAGGGCAGTGATGAAGAGTATGGGTAGTTCTGCACGACCATTCTTTCAGCCAGAGGCTGCTTTTGCACGGAGTGTCCTCCTGCCTCTCTGATGACCATTTGAGAATTCCTGTGTCAAATTTAGTGATAATGTAGTGAGGCAAAGGAGGGGGAAAACGGTGACAATCTTGATTTAAAACAAAACAGAAGTAACTGTTATGGACAGCTTTCTACCTTATCACTGCGAGGCAGGAAAAAAAAAAAAGTGACTATCACACCGATGCTTGTCAATCGGGAACAACAGCATTAAAACTTAGATTGTGATAGGTGTGTGTGTGAGGGGGGAGCTTGAGAAAAAAGACTCAGTGGGAAGCAATGTTTTAACTGTACGGTAACCCTACAGCCATTTTAGAAATATGCATTGTAGGTGAGCCTAAAACCATTACTTAAAGAGAAATAGTAAAAGGAATTTTGTGTACTCATCCAGAAAAGCGTTAATATGTTGTACAGAACCTCCCATGCTGTGAGTCTCAATAACCACCGAAATGTAGTTATTTTATGGAGTGGATAAAGTTGTAGTAAGCGTTTCATTTGTCTTGCAGTTAACCTTCTTCAGCAGTCTGAAAAAAATGAGAGTAATAAATGAGAAGCTGATGAATGAATTATCAAGTCAACCAAATGATACAGATGTGAGTTAAAGATGCTGGTTATTTTATATATATATATGTATTGGTATTTGTTACTCTTCTCATGTTTGGTTAATCATAATGTGGAACATACTGGAGTTTCTTGTGGCATTGATGTGCTCTGAGGATACTTAGGGAAGTGACTCCATGTAGACATGGCTACTGCATTTTCATCTGGTTTTATGTTCTTGTGCTTCTAGATGGTGCTGAACAATGATGCAGAGATAATTGCACTGGAATTTGGAGAAATTTTCAAAACTCTGGAAATGAAAAAATGGCAATTGCTAGAAGATGTTGAAAATCAAAGAACAAAAAAGGAGAAAGAATTTCAGATTTGGAAGAAAATGAAGGAAGCTCACAAGAAGACCATTGAGAATTTTTTGAAGGACTGCGATAAGCTTGTCCATGAGTGTGATCCTCAGCGTTTCCTGGAGGTGATGGCATTTTTTTATCAGTTGGATAATGAATGTCAAATGTCATGTAGAGCCTGCATATTCAAGATTATGATTTCCTAGATCAGGAAAAACAAATTCAACAAGCAAAAAAATACAGACTAAAATTACATAATGCTTCATACTTTTAAATTATTTTTTTAAATTATTTTATTTTCATTTTAGAAAGGTCTGGAATGCTTTCTTTGCAGCTTATCAGTGATACTTAGTAAATTCAGTAGACACTTATTTTCTTTATTTAAAAATAATGAAATTAATATTGACTTTATAGCTGCAACACTCACTGTATTAAGCTGCCAGATTTAATGTAAGCTATGTTGGTGCTGGATAGGGAGTTATTTACTTGTACTGCCTTCAGGATTGTCTCATGTTTACTTCCTTTTCCATATTTGTTTTTAAATGCTATGTGTATTAAGCACCTCCATTGCATTTTTAAACCTGCAAGACATTAAAAATGCCTTCTGGGGGAAGATTGGAACCAGAACCAGGAACTTGTCTGTGCTGCACAGGGCAGTACTTGTGTTGGGATAACTGAACTAAGGTGATTTTATGGATTTTAAAACCTGCTGTAAACTTTGCACTGAGCTGTGCAATGGAGATAAAGCAGCTTAATCAAAGGTGGCCTAGGTGCTTTCAACACACACTGTACTAGATAGTATATGCACTTCTGTATGCAAGACCCTGAAAGTCTTCCTCATAGTGTTTAAGGGAATTAGAGAGGAAAACACTGTCACTTGACTACAGCACTTCATACTGCCATTATCTGGCTGGTTTAAAACTAAAAGACATTTTTTTAAATCTTGGTGTAATAGAATGTTGAGAGCATAGGCTTCCCTCATGAAGAAATACAAAATAGTTTTTCATCTGAATATTTATTAGTACCTGAATATCTGAAATAAAGTAGAAAACTATATGGGTCATGATTAATTATTTAAATGCCTTCATTTGGCTCTGAAGGATGTTTTTAACACAGAATGATACATGTCCCAGACATAATTTTATTTTTTTTATACTCTTTTTTTTTTTTTCTTAGTTTGGGTTTTTTTTAACACTAACAAGTTTATTACGTATAGTTCTGTGAAATGAAGACAGGGAGTTCAGTCTGAAGTATTTTTATAAAGCAATAGTCTTTTCTGAGTTGGAGGAAAACTCATATCTTACAAATTCTTGTTTTATTTATAGGTGGCCTGTGGCTTGAATACAAGGTATGTATCGTTTCGTTTTGGTTTTTTATGTGCTTTGTTAGTTGTCTAGTGTAATTTGAAGCTTAAAATCAAGAAAATAGTTACTTTGGATATGGCCAAATATAGCAAGTTAAAATTAAAACAGTATTTAGTACTTAAGACGTTATAATACATTCAGATTTTTCGATGCTCTGTGTTTCAAGTTTTAGGAAATGTGTCAAGAATTTTAGTCGTATTTTATCTGGTATTAGACTTAATCAGTCTTTGTCAGTCCCTTACAAAAACTTGAGTATAGGAATTGATTAATACATAGTGACTGGATATTTTTAGATACCTTATCTATAATTGGGAACACTGAAGCATGCCTGGATCTTTTAGAAAAATTTTTAAGTTTAAGAGCATTAATTTTAAACTTTAGGTTCTGCAGTGTCTTCATTTTTGTGTTTGCAGTGCACTTACCCTGTGTATTTCTTTCTAAAGATTCTTAATACTTTATAAGCAGAATTTGAGAGAGAATATTGGAAATGGAGCTTTTGAAAACATGTTCTGGTCTAAACTAACATTAGCAATGCACTCTGAAGAAAGTGTAATTTAGGTTCAGGTATAGTACATGAAGAAAAGTGGGGGGCTTTAATCTTGTTGCTCAACTGCCAGCACTACTACTTGCAATTTTAATTGTGTATGAAACCTAATTCAACTGACTCCTCAAGTAGTAATGTCGAAGAAAAAAAAGAGGATACCTGACATTTTATTGAAGACTTATTTTTTTCTTATTTCTTCTTCCCTCTTCATGGATTCTTTCTTTGTTTTGGTTTTGTTTTGCTTTTTTTAAATTAGGTAGGTGTAATTTGTTTGGCATGTGAACATTAGGAATAGTGTCTGTGTTTTGTTGGGTTTTTTTTACATTTCCAGAATGAAGACTCAACTTGACCTGATGAATATAGCATCCAGCTATGAAAAACCACCAGAGTATACTCAGAAGAAGATGGATATCAAACCCGTAGTTAATGAAATCTTGGCTTTGAAGTTAATGCCTGTTAATGTAGGCATTGTTAAAGGTAGGGAAGAAGTACTTTCACTATAGGACAAGATTCAGGAACTCTAGGAACCTGCAAATTGTAGAGCTAATTGCTAATAAACAATTTGCATGGCAAAAGTATGCGAGTGTTCAGAAAGCGTTTGAGCAAATTAATGGATGGCAAAATCATGAAGGGTTTTTAAATGCATTTTATGAAAGTGCTTTATCTAGAAACTCTAGGCTGTGTTTTTTGGAAGTTGGAGAAGTATCATTATAATTTTTCTACACAACCAATATCACCACTGTCAGAAGTGTGCTGCTGAACTAGATGGGTATTTGTTGTAGTGTGATGTGTACACTAATTATGCTCTGATTAAATGTTTTTACCTCATAGGAGAAAGATGATCAGTTTTGTGTCAGGGCAGGCAACTCCAGGCAATTAGAAAACTTCTTATATGGGCCTTTTGCTTTATATCACAGAAGTTTAAAGAAGTATCACTTAGGGTAATATACTTGTGTTCTTAATTGGACTCTATGCTTAGATGCACAGAAATCTTTAAATATTTTCCATACTTAATATGCTTTCCATCAGTATTCTTGTATTCTTTCTGATAGATCTACCTTCTGGAGGAACTGAGAACTCAACAAAAAATACTCTGTTTAAAACTAACATGAAGCAGTGGCGGGACCAGAAGAATATAACCAACACATTTCTTGTAAGTTATTCACTATGGGTCTACAACACTGTACTGTTTTTTTTTTTAGTTTGTCCTATCAAAATGAGCTGTAACCTCTGCTGCAAAACATTTTTCAGCCTGTAGCAGGGCAGGAGGAAGCCCTGTCAGACGGCAGCAGGATCTGTACTCGCTTAATGTCGATATCAGAAATGTCAGCGTTTCAAAACATGAGTCACGAGGTATGATTAAATATCTGTTGTAAGTATGGCTCAGTTACTACGTGTTGTGACACAACTTCCTAAATAAGCTTTTATCATCTTTTTCAGTTTCCGTAGTAGAAAGATACCCTTCCAATTCTAGAACATAAATCTGACTAGGTTATTAAAGCTGTCAGGGTTTTACTCTTCTTTCTTTCTTCAGAAAGCTGAAACTTAATCTTACTACTCACTTTAAATACTTACTTTTCTATTTTAGTGTGACTTTTTGAGTCACATCTCTAGCTTCCTAAGGCAAATAAGCTTCTGTTGCCTATTTGAAGAAGTCATCTGCCTGCATTCATTTTTTTTGAAGATAAACAGAATTCGCTCTTCCAAGACTACTTAAATTCCCAGTAATTTGACACAAAACTGAATCCAGTCTCTTTTTTGTTTCACTTCCAATTATCTGGTTCTACAAATATTTTTTCATTCACAAGTGGTTCCATGTGATGGCTAAGTAAGTGTTGTGATGTACAGAATGATTCTAGTTACAGCTAGTGAAGCATGGCTAGCAGAGAATCACATTTCTATTCTGAGGATACCAATGGCAGATGATGAAATGAAAAAGTTGCTTAGGTCCTTTAAATATAGAATTATTTTTCTCTAGGATTTTGTAGAAATCTGTTTTCCCATTGAGAATACAGTTTACATAGTTGTTGTATTTGTTACCAAAAAAAACCCCACCACCTAAATAGGTTTCAGGTTATTATTTTTCATGACCATTTCAGAATTTGCTGCTTAAGGTCTAAGCTAGTACGTTTAGCTTTTTCTGATTTTTGGATGAGACTTGAAATACAGTTTTCTGCAATCTCCTATTTAAAAACCTGCTTTATTACCAGAGTTCCAATGTATATCTTGTTTAATCTTTAATTTTTTTAAAGAACATTTTGTCCTTAATCACTTATGTGTTTTTCCCTTCTAACAACAATGGAAAAAAACATCATAAATGCTACAGAATATATTAAAAACTCTTAGTCTTAGGATTGTATGTGAGTTTTATAACTTCTGAATCCACGTATGCTATTCTACTTAATGGGATTCTTTGCTGTCATTGTAGGAGTTACGTTATAAATACTACATGGAATGTCGGAAGCTCACCAGTGATTTCAAGACACAAACTTTACCTGCGAATAAAAAGTATAAATTTGTAACTGCAGAGGCTTTGCAGGATAGGTCCTCAGGAACTGATTCTGTATCTTCACCTACCAAAGCAAGTAACAGAGACACAATGAAAATGGGAACCCTGCAAAAAACAGATGGCTTTGATGGGAGAAGCTTTTCTGGAGCCAGTCATCGCAGCATCCCATCCACAAGTATTAACTTTACTGAAACAAATGGTGACTTAAAATTACTTCAAGAGAGAAGTTCCCAGGAAGTAACCACTCCAGCCTTAACAGAAAACTCTAAAGACTTAGTAATGAAAGAGAAATTACCCATTCAGGCATCATCAGTTACTGTTTCCAATGCCATAGATACAAATTCTGGCATTTCATCTGGCTTAAAAACAGCAGCACCAGAAGCTATTAATGTTACAAATTCAGAGTTTCTAGATGTTTCTGCAGACAGACTTTCTGCTTCACCTTTTGCTTTCAGTGCATATAATAACTCATTACCCAGATTTAGTAAAGGTGGATGTACATCTTCCTTTAAAAAGAAAGAAAGGAAATACGTTTTCCCTCAGTTTTATCTAGGAAAATGTGATCATGCAGGTAAAACTGATAGCCAGGATGAAAGCAAATTCAGAAAGCACGGTCCTATAGCCAAAGCCACAGTCTCTGATGCTTCAACCAGTCCTAATTTAGACTCAGCAGAACAAGATAAGCCTGATCTTTCATTTCCCATTGGCAATTCAGAAAGAGATTGTTTTGCAGAATGTGGAGTCAGCAATTCATTTAAGGTTTTTCCGTTTTCCTCAGTTTTTAGCCGATCTGAGAAGCCATCTGACAAAAATGCATCATCTCATGTGAGAGAGAGAACACTTTCTTCAAAGGAAACCACAGAACATGATACACAGAAACCATCTGCCTCATGGGAAAAAAAAGCTAATGTGTCAGAATCCACCACAAATGCAGCTTGCAGTACTTCAGAAACCAACACTGCAGCTGGGATGAATGATGTTTCCGAGTCCCCTCTTCTCCACAGCAACTGTGTATTTTCCTTCAGCAATAACTGTTTTCAGTTGCCTTCACCAGTATTTACATTTGGAAGTGTCATCAGGAATACCTCTGATTCACTGACTTCCTGTGGGGTTTTGTCTGGAAATGGTACTGAACAAACAGAAAAAGAGAAGATGAAATCTGGCAAAACGCTAAGTCCAGAGAAGCCTCTATCTGCAAAGTGTGCAGACCCCAGTTCTAGGCAGAGTCATCCAAAATGTGAAGGTTCTTTCTTTCCTATGAGCTCATCAAAGAAAACTGAAAGTGCAGAAGTGGTTGTTGATTGTAATTCTTCTTGTAGTCAGACTTTGTGTTCAGTTGTTCTTCCTGCTAAACACAAGAATGCATCTTCCACTTCACTTACTACAGCAACAAAACAAGAAACAAAATTAACAGGTGAAGAAAGTGTTGCTGAGAGCAACTGTTCCTGTCCTGGGAGGGAAAATGAAACTGACTCTGTACAGCTTCAGAATGCAGCTTGTTCTGTTCCTGGCACATTCAATGATCCATCATTAGGAGGTTCTGGGCTTATAGTAAATGAGGCAGGAGGAATGCCAAGTGACAGCGATTCTGACACTGAAGATCTAAGTCAGACATCTGTCTCTACTGACACCAGCAGTGCTTCAGAGTATTTTTCTGTTGCTGAAGACAAAATAGCTACTAGAAGAAAATCAGAGACATGAAGAGAGCTAAATGGAAGATAACTATACTTAAATAAGCTGAAATTAAATAAATGCTACTTAACACATTAAAAAGTGGGGATACCTGTGATTTTTACAGCTGTTGTTCTCCCTAATTGTTGCCAATTGAGGTATCTCTGTGTTAGAAACAAATACTTATTACCAAGTGTAATGTACAAAAGTGATTTTTATAGTACAAACCCAAACTGAAGAAAAAAACAAAAATGTCATGTCTTGCTAAAGATTCAAGTATGACAATGTATGCTGTGTATTTAAGAACACAGACCTTCTGAGAAGTACGACCAGAGTATGTATGGTAATGGGGCACTGAGATGTCCCAGAAGGAAGGTTCAGTGAAGCCTCAGCAAGAGGAAGTAGAATATTGCTGTTTCAGTAAAGCAGCACGTGCACTAGGGTTAAATTAGAAAGAGTACAGGCAATAGTATTCATTTTATAGGGAGGGAGGAAAGCCATGGGGAAAATAAAGGATGTTGAAGGGCACTACTGAATGTTGCCTTGAATATCTCCCTTTGGCTGTTTCCTTTTTCTATGATTTATTTGATGTATATTGAACATGGAAATTCTAGTGTCATTTCAATAATTTTTCTTAGCCTTTGAAATTGAAATACCACATGGATGTTCTTGTTACACGTTGCAGAAGGGTGTCAGCTACACTTGTGAAATGTTGCCTTTAAGAAAACAGTCACAATTCATGTTCAGTTCCTTTTGGCACCAGTGTGGGAATCAGTTGACAGTTATTAACTCACTGTTTTGATGAAAGCATTAGGAGAAGTGACCTTTTAAAACACAAAAATCTTATAAAATTTGGGTAAGGACAGGAAAAAAGAAAAACAGCACTTCTCACTGTAAGTATTAATGATCCAGAACACACTGAATTTTTAGTCTGTGAAGATAAAAATACCATCTTTTCCAATTTATTAACCATTTTGTTGCATCCAAGATATAATTGTTCTTTAGCTATTAGAATACACAGGTGGAAGTACTATTTCAGATTAAAGCTCTATTTCATTTAGTGTTCACTATCTAACAGGAACTGGTGCCAGATTTTAAATAAATTAATCCTACATTAGGTAGATATGTCAACTGGCAAGTATGAGATCAGAACATTTAATATCCCTTCAGAACATTTTACTGGCAACTAGATAGTCATCTTTAAAAAAAAGTTTCCAAGTTGTCTTTGTCATTTCATGAGAAATATTACTTAAATTTAAGTATCTGCAAGGCTTAGCAATATGTTTACTGTTACAGAGTACTTAGAAATACTCTCTTTGGTTTAGGAAATGTCCTAATTTAAATTTTATTTATGTTAAACTTTTGGCCTCAACTTTCCTATGGCACTGCATACCTCTATTAACATGTGCTGGAAAATAGTTTCTAGAACTTATAAAACTTACTAATATTCCCTTTGTATCTGCATTATAGCAAGGAAGGTGGTAAAAGTTATTTTTATAGTTATATTAATATATCTTAAGTCTTGCTGTACTTCAATTTTCTATTAAGAATTGTTCTGCTTCCATCTCTAGACAATCCTGTCATATCCTTCTGTGTGTGTAGGAGAAAAGTGTTGAAAAGGTATTAAATTACTGGAAGACAAAGGCTGGAGGTGATGATACTGGCAGAAAGTGTTACATGTGCAGGTTCTTGCTATAATGAAAATGAGAGAAGTGGAATAATTTCAGAGAGATGGATAAGGCATCAATAAAAACTTGTTGCCAGAAGGTTGTAGAAAATGTTTGCTTTCTGCTACAGTAACAAAAACCTTCTAATGAGTTCCAGTTATTCAGAAATCCTGCTGAGTCATAAAATTGCCTATTTTTTACATATCTTCTGTTCATGTCTGTTACAGTATTTCTTGAGAGTCTAATAAAGTTAAATTTTCACTAAAAGACACAGTATCTGCTTTAAAATACACCTTATACAATTATAAAGCAAATAAACAGCTATGGCACTTCTAAAACCAGAAATTGTTGATGTTTGGGTTCCAGTCCAAAGATAAAATGACAGGCAGAAGGAGGTTTTACAGTAGATCCCAGTAAAATTACAGTCCACTCAGAAATTGTCAGTAAAGTTATCAGTTTTTCTTGTATTTTCACAGGTTGATTCCTTGGTCATTTCTACTTAACCACTTGGTCATCTTTACTATTGACTCCTTACATAACAGGAGAGAGGTGCTTTTTGTGTACCTTATTGACAGTGAAGGGTTGGCTACTGTTAGTTACTAGTGCTTTAAGAGACATTACTTTCTTACACTTATAAAATTACCCTGTGATTGTTCTCATAAGTTTGTCTTTGAGCCAGGATTCCATCGTGATTTATCAAATTACTAAGAACACCATAGGGGCAATTTCTGACTTTATTCCTTGGTCAATTAATTGTGTCTTAGCTAAAAAGAAAGCTCCAGTTATACTGGAGAAATACAAAGAAGGAAATGTCTAAATAAGGTCACTTCTGCCCTAGCTGAGGAACAGTTGTGCAAAATTTATCTACATATGGCATGACCTCCCAGACAGTAAAGAGTAATTTGAGTAACTTTTACTGTCCAAGCAGAGTTCAAGCAGTCTTTTCTACCACTGTGTTCCATTTCTGTCATAACTTTGTTTCACAAAACAGGAAAGAAAAAAGAGTTTTAAGTCAGGTAATGGTAGCTCAGCAGTGCTACCTTACTACATAGAGGTTTTCCTCCAATGTCTTCTAGCAACATGTTGCATGTAGTTAAATGCTGCCTAAGGAGACTTCCAGTCAAAGGCTTCATCAGTGATCATTTGCTGAGCACCAAAGCTAATTCAAAGAAGTAGGATTCTGAATTGTTCTTAAAGAACATTCTGATTATTATTAACAGACTATAACTTCTATCACTACGTTGGTCATCATAAAATAGTGTGTGGCAACAAGGACTGCTGTCAAAACCCAATTTTCCTAAGTTACCTAGACATTAGTATGTGTGAGTATATTTTTTCAGACTATGAGTAGACTAAAGTACAGTGTTAAACTGAATAATTTTCAGGAATAGTATGAAAATAATGCTGGAATTTTTTTGTCTTTCTAGCAAAAAACAAGAATATATTTTACTGAACTCAGTAGTTTCTATTGCAAGAGCCTTTTTGACAAGTATGCTAGAGGCGTCCTGGATCCTTCTGTATCTTAAGGATATGAAGCAAAAATTGAAGCAATTCTACGTATTGTTGGAACATTTTATTAATCACACTTCATTGTACTGATACAAAGTGCTCTTTATACTTAAAATTTTGTAGACTAAGATTCCAGACAGATTTAAAAGCTGTTTTTAATGGTGCATGAAGGTACTATTTCATAACTTAGTAGAAACTTTGGAAGATAATTAGAACAATTATTTGATTGTAATTGCCAAAGTAATTGCTGACCATTCTTCGCAAACAGGCTGAAAGCTTCCAGTGCTAATCTCACAGCTGTCTGAACTATGATATTTGTTCAGTGTATTTCTGAGAGCTGTCTTAACATATGTATGTATCACTGCCTGAAAAAAAGAAAAAAGTACAATAGCAGTTTTCTAATCTATCAGAAACTGCTATTTGACATTGGAGCTGCTAAAATATCAGTGTAGAGGGTTAATTTTCTAGAGTAAATGGGATTATTAATAGTAGATATTACTGAAGCTTTACTATAAAACAAATCTGGTAACTTGGACTTAGTCTCTTTCTTATTTAAAAGGCAGCTGATCTCTATGGTAAGAGATGTTTGTTGCTTCTTTTTTTTTTCTTCAGGTAATACAGTTCAGCTTCTCTTCATAGATTTTACCCAGTTCTTGAAATGCCAGTAAAACATTGTCATTTGGATCATCACACAGTTCACTCAGTGATGTTCTGTTGTGTTTTAAAGAAAAAAAAAAAAAAAAAGGCATGTTTTCATTTTAAGTAGCTTTAAAGATTAAATATATATTGTATATTAAAAAGCAGTTTATCATACCCAATAGACTTTATGAGGAGTGAAAAATCCTTGAGTGCATAGTAAGCATCTCCTTCATTTAACCTAAAGAAAGAAAAAAATTCAAATGTTTGTGCATTATAACTTAGTCTCCCTTTAAATAAAGCCTGTCATGTAGATTAGCTAAGGATGCAGAGAGCATATACCATGGCCTCAAACACTGACATATTAGTTCATAGGATTACTGTAGAGTAACTGCAAGTTTAAAATAATTCCTAATGCTGAAGAGCAATGTTTCTGCATTTACACTAAGCATATAAAAGACTCAAGAGGAATATTTGGGAAGATATTTTCTTGGGAACATGGCCTCAACAGTTTGTGACCAGCTAATTATTCAAACTAAACTGGAAAACTATACTTCAGATGAATCTGCTGGATAAATAGTGAAAGCTTTCTACAGAGGCTAAAGACCCTATATTTTCCAAAAAGGACCACTGATTACCAACAAGCAACTTAATAAATTTAGTAATTAAGAACAATTTTTTAAAGATTGCAGTCAGTATTGTGTTGAAAATAATAGCATTACGGAATGTTTTGGGCTGGAAGGAAACTTTAAAGATCACCCCTGCCATTGGCAGAGACATCTTTCACTAGATTGGCTTGATAGAATCAAATCATGTTATAATGTAATCAATATATTTCTCTTGGTAATGTCACATTAGTGCCAAACTCTGCTATTGTAACTACAGCAATGCATGGAATATGTATTCTAATTGCTCTTAATGGAGTATTCTTTGAAGAGCTTACAAAAAAGCAGATTATATGCTCCCAACATCACCCTCAGGCAGCGGAGTGAGGTGATGTTTTCTTATTCATAAATAAAAGTTGCTGACTGTGAGCATGGGGGCAAAATAAAGATACTTGATACAGTAGTTGGGAGAGAGAACTTGTGATTCAGCTTTTTTGAGCTGAGGCTGGGAATAAAACAGGTACATGAATGGCATTAAGAACTGCAAGCTACAAGTTTTATAAAAAGATGGATTTAATGAACAAGATTCCAGAAGGCCAGTGAGAATTCAGGA